TTTCCCCAAGGAGCCCGGCTTCCTTACTGGAGGATGGAGCTTGGACACCCAGACCGGGGTGCTGGGCGTGGTCCTCAGTGGACAGAGCTAGGAAAAGCCATTACACACATACAGCTTCTGGGGGACCCAAATGGACCGAGAGCCGTGCGCCCCGAGACCTCTGGTGCCCCCTCGGTGTCCCCAGGCTGCTCCCATCCTCCCACTTGGCTTGATGGGCAGTGAGCAGCCCGGCTCCACGCTTCGTCCCCTTGTTTCATCTCCCCCACGCCCTACTCACCCCACTTGGGCCCAGGCTCCCCGCCCCCCCCGGTGGCTGCTCCACCAGATGGGTGTCCCTCCCCACACATGCCACGTGCCGGTGCCTCCTCTTCCTGACCTTCCTTGTGGCCTGCAGAGGCGGGCCAGGCTAGCGTGGTGGTTGGTCAGTGCAGGCAGTTCCCACAGGCTCTGGGGATGGAGCCTCCAGGCCAGCCTCGATAACGTGACACTTGCTGGCCAGTGTCCTGTTCTGACTCATCTTCTTGAAGTTTCTGATCTACCATAAAAAGCTGTTTCTGTAAAATTTTTTCTTTCAAAAGCCCATTTTTAGAAAGGGCCATGTAGAGTCTTCCAGAAGCATTGTCACAGCATTGCTGTGCACGTCGTCTTCTGCACGGGGGTCTTCAGCTCTAGGGAAGGGGGCGGGGGGCTACTGTGGTCTTGTTCACGGAGCCGCAAGTAAACTTCGTGGCTTTCCGGGATTCGTGCAGCTAGGCCATGGTCCTAGGCCTTTGTTTTGTCGGAACTCAGGGCTGTCACTCGGCGTGGCGCTCAGGCCTGCTTCCTTGCAGATGGGCTACCTGAAGAAGGGCGGAGACGGGAGCCTGCTCTACAGCGTGGTCAACGCGGCCGAGCCAGACGCCGACGGTGAGTGGCTCTGCTCGGGACCCTTTTCCTTCCAGCCTGCGCGCTGGTCTGATCTCTGGCCCCGGCCAGTAAGTGTAACCTCGTAGCCCGTGTGTGATGTGCAGCGTCCCTCTAGTGTGTGACGCCAGTGGGACGTGCGGGTGAGAAACCTGTATGGCTCCCCACTTCTGCAGGCCCCTCACGACACTGGTGAAGGGACCAGGGTGGCTGTCCACTGGGGGCGGAGGCGCTGCCACGGGACTGGAGTGGCACTCTTGCAGAACTGCAGGCATGGGGCTGGGCTTCCGGGGGTGTCCCTCTCAAGTTGGGGGTGGGGCTCCCTTGTCAGAAATTGGTGCCCAGCTCTACCCTGAAGCTTGAATGAGGTGCTGGCGGCTCACGTGAGTTCTAGAAGGGAAGGCCCACTCCATGACCACATCAAGGAATGTGTCGAAGGAGGTGTAATGGCGGGTCCACCCAGGCTGCAAGGCCGTCTTTACGGTCTGTAAAATGCACTTCGTACTTTTCCGTTTCCTTGAAAGAGATTTCAGGGCCTTGTCTTTTGAAGAAAAACAGAATTTGCAGAATTTGAACATGTACGTGTGAGAAATGAAACGCTCCCCTGGGCCCCACGCGCGTGCATGGCGTGTTCTTTCTCCCAGCCCTCGACATGAGGTTCGCTCAGTGTTCTCTGATGCTCACGGGGCGTAGTGACCAGCCTCTTTCACCTCTAGCCGGATCGAAGCATAGTGCTCTTGGCCAGAGAACAGGCGAATCGGTCGGCAGTCAGCCTAGAAGGAGGACGGCGAGGTTGAGGCAGGGACCGGAAGACCCCACGCGTGTTGCACAGGGAGCAGGCGGGCGGGAGTCCAGAGGCAGGCACGTCGTGGCCACTGTAGCACGCTCAGCGCTGCTTAAAGCTGCTCCGTGGTCAGCTGGGAAATAACGTATGCTGCCGGCGTCAGGGCATTCAGGGTTTTCGTCCTGTCGACTGCGGTGGCTGAGGTGGTGTCGGAGTGGACTTGGGCCGGCTTGGCACTGTGGTCTTAGGTGTCTTTGTAGAGAGCCCGCCCGCCAGCACTCGTGCTGAGGTGAGTGTGCGCTGTGCATGCGTGCGGGGCTCCGACAGCCCCGCTCAAGCCTGTCTCCCCGCAGAGGAGGAGACTCACCCGGTGGACCTGAGCTCCCTCTCCAGCAAGCTGCTCCCTGGCTTCACCACTCTGGGCTTCAAGGATGAGAGGAGGGGCAAAGGTGAGTGTGCCACGGGGTGTGGGGGCGAGCCCCCCAAGGTCTGCCGACCCACGTGCTGTTGGAGCTGTATCCAGGTTCTGACTTTTAAAAGCAGGAATAAAACTAAGGTCCTTTGAAACGATAAGAATGAAAATTACGTTGAGCGAGTTCCCCTTTTCCATGTGTTCGGTGGGGCCCAGCCCGGCGCTTTCTGGTTCTCCGATGTGGGAGCTGGGGCCTTCGGGGCCAGGTGGTGATGACCTGGCGAGAATTTAACTTCTGAACCCGTACGTGGAGGGGTGTGGCTGCCGCGTGCGAGGGTCTGTGGCGGGGAGTGACGAGTCCGCGGTGGAGGGCAGAGGTGGGGGTTGTTGGCTGCCCTCCCACTGCAGTCCACTGTCGGGTGGGTTCTGGAGCTTCTGTTAATGAGTGGAGCTGTTTCATTCCTAGGGGATGTTTTGACTGTCACACTGGGGTGTTGCTGGCACCTAGCAGGGAGAGGCCTGGGCTGCTCCACACCCTCCCACACCCGGGACACAGCCTCCCAGCACTGACAGCCTTCACGCGGAGGGGCCAGCACGAGCCTCCGTCAGGGCGGCGGGCCTCTGGCTCCCTTTACGTCCCTCAGCAAGAGCGGCCTCTGGGCGCGGTTCCTCGGGTGTCTGGGGCGGGACGAGAAGCCCTTGTGCCTGTCGCACTCACTGTGTCGCAGAACAGCGAGCCGCCCCCCGGGGAGGTGGAAGGACGGTGACGCGGTCCTGCTAGTTATGCCCCCAGAAGCCGCCTCTGGTTCAGCTGGACACAGGAGCAGGGGTGTCGCGGCGGGTGCTGTGCTGGTGCCCGCGAGCGTCCGCGGGGAGGGGGCCTGTGCGGACCTCACGCTCCTGTGCTCCCCTTTCTCTCTCCCTTAGTCACGTTTCTCTCGAGCGCCAGCACGGCACTGTCGATGCATAATAATTCAGTGTTTGGGGACCTGAAGTCAGACGAAGCGGAGCTGCTCTACTCTGCCTATGGCGACGAGACGGGCGTGCAGTGCGCGCTGAGGTGGGCCGCGCATGCGCACGCGGGCGGTGGCTCCTGACCGAGCGCTTGAGGCCTGTTTGTGGATGAGTGGGGGAGACGGCCAGGGGCAGCGGGTCGGGCAGCGGGTCCAGACAGTGTCACAAAGTCCCCCGTTATTGTAGCAGTGCCGTGCTCTGCTGGCCACCGGGCTCGAGGCTGGGGTAACTCGCCCAGTGCTGAGGTAGCAGTCCAGGCTGTTGCTTGAGAGGGCGTGCGTGCCCGTGACCGCTGCCGTGTGTTTAGTAAGTTTGTGTCACAGCTGCTTTGAGCTGTGGTTCTCAGGCTGTGAGCGGCTCGGGCTGCATGACAGACACCACAGATGGAGCGGTAAACAGCACACACTGACTGCCTCAGTCCCAGAGGCCCGAGATGCAGGTGGTGACAGGGCTGCTCCTCCAGGGGCCTCTCGGTTCTCGCTGTCCCTCTGTGTGTGTCTGCTTTAATCTCTTTTTCCTGTAAACACAGCAGTCATGGAGCTAGGGCCCACCCTGAAAACTTCATTTTACTTTAACCACCTATTAAAGGCCCTGTCCCCAAATGTAGTCACATTCTGAGGTCCTGGGGTTAAAGCTTCAACAGATAAATTTTGGGGACACAGTTCAACCCAAACAGACTATAGTGTGACGTTAAAGTTGTAGATGTAGCACTGTGTTTCTATAGCACTGTCTTTGTATGTATTTTTTGTTCTCTGTGGCAAAGTGAAGTTAGTCACTTGTAGAACTTTAGGAATGTTTTGTGGGGACAGTAACTTAATTTTGCTAGCCTCTAAGACAGCGGTCCCCGGCCTTTGTGGCACGAGGGACTGGTGCTCCTATGAGAATCTAGTACCTGACGATCCGAGGCAGAACTGAGGCAGTGATGCCGGCGCTGGGGAGCGGCTGTAGACACAGGTGAAGCTTTGCTCGCCTGCCCACTGCTCACCTTCTGCTGTGTGGCCCAGTTCCTCACAGGCCATGGCCTGGGGATTGGGGACCCCTACTCTAAGAAATGAAGTCTTTCCATATTTTTGTTTTATTTGAAAAACAAACAACACATTTGAAAAATAAATAAATGAGCTCCTAACACAGTAAACGAACATCTAAGCCAGATGTTTGTGAGGAAAAAGGAAGTGAAAATTGAAAACTGAGGAGGACGTTTCTTCCAGGAGAAGATGGTGTCAGCAGTTGGTGACTCCACTGCTCATTACACTGGCAGCGCGCTTAGAGCTCTGCAGGGACACCCGTCCCCCCTTGTCCAGGTAGCACTGCGTAGCTGGACCGTGCTGGCCTTCCCCAGGGGCCTGCTCCTGGAGCACGTACGGGCTCTGTGCTGTACCGTGGGAGCCGAAGGCGGGCCAGCGGGGCCTGGCTTCGGTACCAGGGCCACTCCCGGACTCTCCCCGCCGCCTCCCGCAGACGCTGTCCTGGGCACTTCCAGGCCACACTCAGAGTGTTCTGGCCAGTCCCTGCTCCCTTCATAGTCAGTTTGGCGGTTTATCGTAGGATTCTCTTGGTAGGGACTTTGGTGTGGTCGCTTCCAGACCAGCAGCTGTCCCCGCTCTGCGGGCAGGTCTTTGAAGTCTGGGCAGCCCTCGTGAGCCTTTGCCCAGCTTTGATGCTAGAGCCATGGGTTTTCGTCCCCTGCCTCCTTTGTACATTTTTTGGTTAGTGTTACTTTGGTTTTAAAGCATTCGTATATGGCCCTGAATCAGAGAGACTGCACAAGCCGTCCACGGGGAGCTGGCTCCTCCCGTGGCCCCCCAGGAGGGAGCTGGTCACACGGCGTTCTCCTCAGTCTCCTTGTGTTTTCAGACCCAGGCAGATGTGAACGTGCTGCTTTTACAAAAGCTAGCGTACGTTACGTCACGTGTGTGCACTTCGCTTCTTTAAATTAATTTTTCATTTGAGATCTTTTTGACTTCTTTGGGCCATTGAGCACTTTGAAGACCTGGTGAAGCCAAACCCACTGCGAGAGGAGGTTCGCAGCTCTTAGCAGGAACCTCGTGGGGGAGATGGAAGGGGTGTGGGGGCCGCGGCTTCCAGGCCCGGGACCGCTGGCCCTGGTAGCAGCGGAGTCCGCAGGGCCAGAGCGTGTGGTGTTCGTCTGAGCCTGCCTTACACCCCTCCAGCCTGCAGGAGTTCGTGAAGGGCGCGGGGAGCTACAGCCGAAGACTGGTGGACGACCTCCTGGACCAGATCACGGGCGGGGACCACTCCCGGGTGCTGTTCCAGCTGACACAGGTGGGCTGCGCTCAGCGCCTCTCCCGGGGGTGGGAGGGCGGGGGGCGGCTGGGCCCTCGGGGAAGCGTGTGCTGCCTCGACGATCCGGAGCCGTTCTTCCCGCTCTGGCTTTTTACGTTTGCTTTTTCCTTTCGACCGTCAGTTGTTGTACGAGAAACTCGTGAAAGTCCTCTCCGTTCGCCACGTGCCCGGCATCGCTGGCACTCTCCAGTTTTCTTCGTACCGGATTTTTCACCGGCCGTCCTTCCCTTTGTGCTGAAGAATCTCCTTTAGTGTTTCCCACAGTGTAGATTTGCTGACAGTGAGTTTGCTCAGCTTTTGTCTGAGAAAAGTCTGCATTTAACCTTCGTTTTTGAAATTCAGTTTCCTTGGGCTTGGAATTAAGGCAGACGCCTGTCTTCTTTCCCGTAGAAGATGGGTGACTTGGACTGTTTCTGAAGTTTTTATTTTTGCTTTCCATTTGTAATGTGTCCTTTGTGGTCAGGATCATGGGTTGACAATAGTCCATAGCTGAGAATATTTTTTGATTTTTTTAAAGTTCGTGAGAAAATATTCTGCAGGCCATACGCAGTCCCCACGGTCTCAGGCCGTACGCGGTCCCCACGGTCTCAGGCCGTACGTGGTCCCCACGGTCTCAGGCGTTCGCTCCGTGGCCCTTTGGAGAAGAAGTGCTGACTCCCACTCTCGATGCTTAGTTTCAACCTTTTTAACTTGATTTTTAGCAGCTTATTTTTGACGTGTCTTCCTATGCTTTTTTTAAATATTTATTTTGTTTAAGATTTATTGGGCTCGTTGGACCTGTTGGTTTATAGTTTTAAACAAATTTGGAAGACGTCCACCCGTCATTTCTTCGCACGTCACCTCCTTGCACCCCTTCTGCCTCTTCTGGACTTTGACACGTGTTAACACCCGGGTATATTTCACGCATCGGAAAACTCTCTTTCGTAAGGTTATTTCCCCTTCGGTTGGGTGGTTTCTTAGGGCACGGCTTCGCGTGCGGTCATCTTTCTGTAGGCCGCGCCTGCGTCCGCCATTGACCCAGCCTGCGGCTCCTCCGTCTGCGGTGCCGGTTCCCACCTCTGGGGCGCCGCCCGGCCCCGGCTGTGCTGTCAGTCACGCTGCTCGCGTGCTCTCCCTCAGACGCGCGGACGCGGTCGCAGTCTCCACAGAGCTTGTATTCGCTAATTCTGCCCTTTCCGTCCTTCTGGGTCTGTCTCTGTTGGCGGGTTTCCCTCTGGCTGACAGGCTCTGCTTCACCGGTTCGTCTGCGTGGACACTGGGCTTACGTGCTGCGAGTCCGGACTGTGCTAATGCAGCGGCCCCTGGCCACAGCTGGCTGTCGGGGAACCTGAGTGTGGCCAGTCCGAGTTCAGGTGTGAGGACAGTATGAGATACGAACCAGGATTATAAAGACTAGTACAAAAAGAAACGTAAAAGGATCCCAATGATTTTTTGGTTTACGTGTCAGACTAAAAACGTTTTCAGTACGTTAGTGAGTAAACTCCGTGAAGTCTAATGGCACGTCAGGGTTATTTTAATACGACCGCAGAAGATTTGCAGTTAGGTATCAGCGCGCATTATGTTTCGTTGGACAGGGCTGGTCTGGATCTCGTCTCCTTCCTTTAAAGACCGGGTACGTTCTTGTGGCGGAGCTGTCCCTGGTCTTCTCAGGCTTATCTTTAAGCTTCGTTAGGGTCAGTCCAGGCAGTCTTTATTCTAGGCGTAGTTTGGCTTAAGTACTAAGGTGTGGTGGCCCTTTTGGGGTCTCCTTTGATGTCCCTGGTCTCAGCAAAGTGTCTGCTCTGCCTGGGGGGAGTTCAGATGTTCTCACCCCGTGTGCCCAGCCCCATCCCATTGCACCTGTGCGTGCTCGGCCCACGTCTCCCGGCGGGGCCCGCCAGAGCTCCGGGCACCACTCCTCGCGCCCGGTCAGGTTCCCCGTGGCGCTGCCTGGGCGCGGCAGTCACAGCGGGAGGCCCTGGAATGCGCTGGCCCCTCGGTCTCCTCACACGACGGGGGACGTGCGCTGCAGCGTCACGGAACCCCGGCTGCAGCACGGACGCCGGCGTGTGTGTGAGGAACGGACGCTGGGATGTGGCGGTGCCCACCCCGCTTCGAAGCTCACGAAAGTCACAGGGGTAGCCCCAAATCGCGGCTGCGAACGAAAGGCCCCATGTGAGCGTGTGCGAGCCGAGGGGCTGCTTGGGGCACGGACATAGGACGCAGGTGTCCGAGGTGCTGCCTGGCCAGGTGGTGGCTCCGCGCAAGCGCAGGCTACATTAGCGGTCAGGTCTTCGCGCTCTTCCCGGCACCGTGCTGGCGAGGAGCAGGGGCCGCGGCCCCGTAGCCAGGCCAGCTGGGCAGTGGCGGCGTCAGGCAGCCCACCCCCTACAGGAGTCGAGCTGGTTTCAGGCGGGTCTTCTGCGTAAACCACCAGGCCCACTGTCGTCCTGAGCTGCCCCAGGGTGCAGCGTCTGACTTCCTTCCTCACACTGTCCGAGGCTGCGGAAACAAGGGTGGGTGCCCTGTGACCCCTTCCTCTCCGTCTTGCCCAGTACACTCATGGGCACCAGCCCACCCGCATCGGGGCTGGTGCTGCGCGACTCGGGCCCTCCGAGGTGCAGTCAGGGGTCTCGCTCACACTGCCAGCTGCACAGGAGCAACGAGGCCTGGCTCCGATGCACAGCATCGTGGGGACTTGACGAGGACCGCCGGCACTGGTGGCTAAGCCAGCACGTGTGTCCGCGGCGTGGGTGATTTGTCATGTACAAAATGGTTTTGGAAAAACTGGTTTCCTGTCTGTTTTTCTTTGCAGAGGAGAAGTGTGCCAGTGAAGCCCCCAGAGGAAGCGAAGGTGAGCCCCACGGACGTGGAACCAGAACCCGATTCTTACGGTCCCACAGGGCAGCTTTCGCTGCCTCTGGGAGCGGGGTTGAGACGGGCTTCGCGTACTGTCTCATTTAGAAGCCAAACAGGCTCTGATCAGCGACGTGAAGTGGCAGTGTCTCCCACCCCCTGATCTTTAGTGGCCTAGGATCATCAGGTAAACTGGCAGTACTCCCGAAAGACACCGGCTCTGGGGTGACCCCTGACTCAGGAGTGAGTCAGGCTCTGGCTCCAGGGTAGCGGGAGCCTCTGCTCCCTCGTCACTGGGTCCTTGTGAGTCACTGGATGGAGGTGGACCCCTCTTCTATGCAGGCTGGCACTAGTCCTGTTGGGACCCTCGAGCCCTGGAAGGGAGCTTGTGAAAGACGTCTGCACGAGCCAGGCCTGGGGACTCTCCGTGTCTGTTACATGGCACTTTTGTGTCTTAACTGGTGAAGGAAGTGCCACTCCCGAGTGTCGGTCGGGGAGGCACTGTCGTTTGACACTAAGTTGTCTAGGAGTGACTTAGGATCCAGCGGCCACGTGGGAGTATGGAATTTGGCAGAATTCTGAGGCCTTCAGAATATCCCTTGGGTACTTCCCTAACGGAGCTGCGCGTCAGCCCTTGAGGTCCCCATGTTTGGGGGGTGGCGAGTTGGAGGGAGGTGCCCATGCGCTGGGGCATCTGTGCTGATGTCGGGGGGCACTGACACAGGATCTTGCAGACAAGTGGATATGCGCCCAGGGCCGTGAGGGCCTCAGGAAAGAACACTGTGATTTGGGATAGTCGTTTCGTGACGTCCCTGAAAAGTAGCCAGGGGCTCCTGAGGTGCCATGCAGCTGCCTGCTGCAGTCTCTCCCATGGCCCCAGCACCTATGGGTGCCCCTTCAGGCTGGCAGCGTCACCTTGGGCAGTGGCCCATGCTCGGGCTCATGGCCCGTGGTCCCTGGGCTGCGGCACGGACCGGTCACAGCTCCTCGGGCGGACGCGACAGCGGGCCTGTCCTACTGGCAGCCCAGCACCCACTCAGTAGTGTCTTTCCTTGTGTCTCCTCTCTCCTTGTCCTGTGCAGGCCGGGGACTCACTGGGCGACGGTGGCTCCATGCTGGACTTCGTGTCGGTGAAAGCATACTCGGATGTCTCTCTGGGGATCTCTGTGCTTGGCTCTCTGGGTAGGTTGTGCCTGGCACACCCATCCACCGTGTGACACTGCCATCGTGTGTCAGGCTCAGCTGGAAGCAGGTGGCCCCTGGTACTTTGTCCCCCAGCCTGAGGGGCAGTCAGTAGGGACACAGGGTTGGTACACTGCTGCCCGTCCTCACTCCCAGAGGGCAGCCTGGCCTGGTGAAGTGGCTGCGGGTGAGGGCCCTCGTCCTCAGGACCACCCTCGATGGCTCCCGACCAGGCTGGCCCGGGCCTTTCTCCTGAGTTCAGGCCCATCTCGAGAGTGGCTGGGCCCTTCCGTCCTGTTGGTTGGTGTCGTGCCGGATGTGGCCCGCTGTTAGGGCCTTAGGGGTCAGTGTGCTCACGTGTGCCCGCCAGGATGCCACTTCGTGCACTGCTGACCCCGCGGTACGACACGCCTCCTGTGCCCCGCACGGCATCACACGTCACGCCTTCTGCCACCCGAGCTCCCTGAGATTGGTGGTGCGTGGGGTGTCGTCTCCCCTTACTTTAGACGTGCTCGTGCCTTCACCTGGGAGCGGCTCCCCCCGGGGACACGTGGCAGTGTCTGGAGACATCTTTGGCTGTTACAGCTGGAGTGCGGAACTGCCGGCATCGTGTGTGGAAGCCACAGATGCCACTAACCTGAACCGCACAGGATGGCCCCCTGCAGAGAGCGGCCTGGCCTCTCCGCAGAGAGGCTCCGGGGAGCCCCTGCCTCTCGTTGCATGCAGGCTCTGTCAAATGTTCTAAGCGCAGTCCTATTTGGTCACCCATCCCGATGGCTCTGCCTTTCAGTTTAGGTGTTTTCAGACCACTTGTGTTCAGTGCAGTCGCCGACACGTGGCCTTCACGCCCGCCCTCGTGCTGTGTGTTTGTTCCCCAGCGCCCGGGCTCTGCAGGGCCCCGTAGGGCTGGGGCTTTCCCAGATGAGCCCGCGGCCGCCCTCACGGTTGTGGTTCATGACACAAAAGGACGCTGGCCAGCTCTGCGCGGGGTGCGTCTGCAGAGCCGCCTCCCCCGTGTTCTCCAGGACGTGCCCCACCTCTAGCAGCGGCTGTGGCAGTGTGGCCCCTCTGCTCGCCGTGTCCCCCAGTCCCGGGCTCCTGGAAGGGGCCAGGTGTTGAGCACGATCTGCGTGATTGCGCAGACGGTCAGGTGCTGGGGATCCCTTGACATCCACCGTGGCCGGCCGAGGGCAACCTCGTCTTCAGGCCGGCAGTCTCAGGCTGATCTGGGGGGCTTTTCTGCACACCCGATCTTTTGTCCCTGGCTGTGTCTCGAGGTCCCTCCTCACTGCCGGTTTTCAGGGGCAGGTCGCAGCGCACTTGTCTGTTTTCCTTCAGCTTTGTTCTTTCTGGGTTATGTTTGGCTTCTTGGTGCTGGGGGTTTATGGGTTTTTTCAAATCTGGGAGGTTTGGTCATACACTAGTTGTCCATCTGTCGTTGAATCTCTGCTGTTTCGGGCCGTCCTGCGCCGCGTCCTCTGGGGCACTGGGTGTCCTGCCGTGTTGACCGCCATGTCCTTCTGTCCAGCTCCGTCCTGCGTCTCCAGTGTTGTGGTCCTGTCTCGTTCCATGGCCTTGGCTCCTGCCCTCTTTAGCACGTGGTGTGTGGCCCCGGCCTCTGTTGGATGCGCAGGGGGCTCGTCCCCATACCGCTCTACGTGTTGCTGCCCGATGCGGCCGTGCTGTCCTGCTTTGCCACCTGCCCAGGGCTGGTTTACCACAGGCCAGACTGCGCACTTACGCCGTTGGCACCAGACTTGGTCGCACGCCTTTGACCCGTGGGGACCTTGTTCCAGGCTGGTGGGCAACTTGGGGCTGTCGGATCCTGTCCTGATTTTGCTTTGAGGCACCCTTAGGGCATAGGGCACAGATCATGTTTAGTGCAGGGTGAACGTGGCCTCACGCATAGGCTTTACGCTTATGCGTGCCTGGGACTCAGATCACCGCATGTGTGCGACCTCTGGAACCTCCCCCGTGGGCACCGGGCATTCGTTGCCGAGACTCATGAGCTGGGCAGCCCGTTTTCCCCAGCTCTTAGTCGGCTCGTGCCCAGCCCACAGGCCCCCGCCCTGGCCGTGGCCCGTGCCTGGTCCTCGAGTCTGCACACGCTGTTCTGCCGCCTAGTTGTTTGCGGCAGGAGGGCGGGGCTCAGACTGCCATGGCACCTGCTTCTTGCCGGTGTCGCCCCTGCCGTGGCCTCCCACTCCCGCCGCTCTGCCTGTGTCCCCGTACCCTCAACCTCACTTGTGCTCGTGGGCTTCCCCAAGAGGGGTCATCCTGAGCCGGCATAGTGACGAGTGGGAGCTCACAGTTGCACACTGGAGGGGCCGGCACGCAGCGCTCGACGGGCGGGCCGGCTGACCTGTCCTGTCCTGTTTGCACAGGGAAGGTGAAGAAGGAGCTAGACCATGATGACAGCCACCTGAACTTGGACGAGACGACGAAGCTCTTGCAGGACCTGCATGAAGCGCAGGCAGAGCGCGGCGGCTCCCGGCCGTCGTCCAACCTCAGCTCCCTGTCCAATGCCTCCGACAGGGACCAGCAGCACCTGGGTAAGGAGAGCCCGCCAGGCCCGCCCCAGGCCCTCGGCGTCAGTCTGGGCAGAGGGCAGCCATGCTGGCCGCCAGCAAAGGTTAGAGGCCCCGGGAGGCCGGAGCTCATGCCCGACTCTGCGGCCCCTGGTCCTCGGACAGTGGCCTTCTCGTCAGGGCTGCTCCAAGTGAAGTGTCGGCGTGATACTTGGTCAGTGTTGTGGATCCGTGGCGTGAGCCACTGGCGTTGCTAGTCCAGGTGGCGGGGAGTCCCACCCAGGCGCCTGCATCACGGGGCCTGTGGTCGGGGGCAGAACGAGGCCCAGGCTCTGGATCTCGACGGCCACGTGGGCTTAGACGTCAGAAATATGTCTTTTCTCTTGCCGTTCTCATTTTCAGTCTTGAAACAGTTGATGACAAAGTGCATTCTTCCAGGACCCTTAGCTGGGGTGAGCACGTGCCCTCCCTTGGCCAGGGGCTCCCGTGTTTAATGCGTGACTAGTTGGGTCGCCCCTTCCGGACCCCGCTAGGATGTCACAGCCCCACTGGGAAAGGAGCCACTCAAACATTTGCCTTGTGCCTCCTTCCACTTGCTGGCTTGTGTGTCCATGCTCCTGTGTTAGTTTGCAGGCACAAATGCTGAGTTACTCTTTCAGAAAGTAAATACTAACGCTTGAGGGTGAGGGCGACGCTGGTCAGTGTCAGAGGTTTGACGAAAGCTCTGAATGAGGACCAGTGTTTTCCTTAACCTTGTGATGAACAGTGCATGAAGGGGGTTCCAGGTAACCGCGGGTTGGCCAAGTTTGAGAACTCTGGCGTCCCGATGGACACAGGTGGCCCTGGAGCTGCCCCAGGGCTGGGGTTGGCCGAAGGGCCCTGGCCGAGGGGCCTTCGTGTCTGCAGAAGGAGCGGCGCTGTTGAACCCCTGCTGCAGGGCTTCCGCGGCCTGGTCTCTGAAGACTGGCCCTCCGCGCCCTCCCCGGGGGACCAGGGCTGGCCTGCACCCGGGGAGGCCCAGGGGGTGGCCTGTGCCCTGGAGCCATGGCTCCAGTTGAGTCCTGGGCTCTGTGACAGCAGTCACACACAGAAGGGTTCCAGCCAGGCGCCTGCCGAGCCCGGACCACGGGGCTGGGTGTGCGAACTGTCCCGTCTTTGCCACGATTGCAGGGAGCCCTTCTCGCCTGAGCGTCGGCGAGCAGCCGGAAGTGACCCATGACCCGTACGAATTTCTTCAGTCTCCGGAACCTGCAGCCTCCACAAAGAGCTAGCCTGGCAGAGAGACCGTCTTTTGTTTTCGTTTTTTTTTTTTAAGTTTTTACTTGCACGTACACAGTTTTTGCCACGAGATTGACTTTCATGTTGTCCCCTTTGGCACACCGGAAGCAGCCGGAGGTGGTGAGTTGTCTGATACCATGTCTGCTGCATGGGGGTACAGTGTTTCTGTACAGAGCCCGTGAGCCCCGAATCGTGGATCCTACATAAAGGCAATGTGACCAGATCGCGTGAAGCTGGTGTGATCTGTGCAAGCTCCGTGGTGTTGGTGTGGGCACACGTTCTGCCCACATCCCCGACGGGCCACCCTGGGCAAGCAGACGCAAGAGCGTCTGTCCACACTCTCTTGGGGTCCTGCATGTTCTTGGCCCGCCTGTACCCCACATCTTCAAGGCAGGTCGCAGTGGGGGCCACACAGGAGCACGTGGGGAGCAGGTCACCACCCTCCTGGCCTGAACAGGCTGGGCGTTGAGAGCGGCTTCCGCCGATCTTTTTCACTCGCGCCTGAGAGGAGCCTATTGTGCCGAAGACTTGGAAGCCAGCTGTCCTCCACCTACGATGAAGCGTCCCTGTCCTTGAAACGTCTTTTATCCTGGATGTGTTTACTGGATGTGTGTTGGTATCTGCAAAGTGTAAATCTAGATTTTAATTAAAAAAAATACACAGAGATGGAATTGCTGGCATTATTTGCAGCACTGTGGAGATCCACATTTGAGCCGTTTCGGTAAAAAGCCTTTGTCACGGTCCTCGTCCTTCTCTGTCATCACGTCCTGCTGTCTCCGCAGCATCTGGTCTGGTCCTCGGTGCCTGTGGGGAGGCTGGGGGCGCCCCCAGCCCTGCGCCACTTCCTGCTCAGTTCCCTTGTGAAAATGTGAAGGCGGGGAGTCCGTTCTCTCCGGGAGGGTCAGGCCCGGGGGAGGAGTGAGTGGCCGGGCTGCGGGCAGTGCGACGTGCCTGGGCAGGAAGGGCTGGCTGAAGTCTTGTCTGGAGCAGGTGAGGGTCCCCCACAGATATTTGATCAAAGGGGGCAGAAACACGCCACAGGCCAAGCGCCCGGAAGCAGCCGTGGCTGACGGAAGCAGAGAGGCATCAGGGGGTTGAGCAGAGGAGGGCGAGCCTTGCGTTCGGGCCGCAGGGGGTCCCAGTCCTCGACCGGCCCCGCCGCCCCCTTCCCTCGTCCACGCCGGCACCCCACCTTCAGGGCCTGGGTTTCCCACCTGGCCGGGATCCCCGAGCAGGGGGTACAGTGCAGATTCCAGGCACACTCCTTGGGTGCGGCCTCATGGGCGAGGGTGCCGGAGTTGCTGTCCCAGAGCCTCTGCCTGTCACCGGCCCGAGTTCTCCACGTCGGTGCCAGCATGCTGTCGGCTGCAGCACAGAATGGCACCACCCAGGCCCCAGGCCCCCTGAAGGGACCTGTTTCCTCTCCAGGTGGCAGGTGTGCAGCCTATGCGGTGCGTCCGCCGCCCTCCTGAGCCCAGGCCTGAGGTGCAGCCAGGGACCCACAGCCCTTCTGCTCGGAATGCTGCGGGCCCACAGGGGAGGAGGCGCCCGACAGAGACTTTGTTCCGTTAAGTCTTATTTTGGTAAAATTCAGGTGACGTAAAAGGTGCATTGCCGTGAATTTGTGCCCAGTGTTCTGCAGCCACCACGTCTGTCAAGTCCCGAGTGCCTCCGTCACCGCAGAGGGAAACCCATGCCGGCGCATGTGTGCGTGGGGCAGCTTCCGCCTGCCGCGGCCGGCCTGGCCGCGCCCCGCCACCGAGGGCGTTTTCAGGCTTGTGGACGTGTGTGCACAGCGGAACTGCACGCAGGTTCACGGGGTGTCACCGAGAGTCATGGGCAACCCGGGTTTCGGGCGTGTTGGTCAGGCACACGCAGTGCGGCGCCGTGCATGCCACACAGGCAGTGCGGTGTGTCGCAGGAAGAGCCGACAGCGTGCTGCAGTTAAGGGGACGAGAGCAGCTGTGACGCAGGCCCACAGGATGTTAGTGTTGAAGTCTCTGCGTGCGCGTGTGCACAGACAGGCCTGGTGGCCCCCGGCCGGAGGGCCTGGCTTTGCAGATTCTGTTATTTCTATTTCCTGTTTGTACAGTGAGCAGGTCCTCATCTCGTAGCTTCTAAATTTATTTCTATGAAGCAAAGACGTCTCTGAGGGAGTGCCACTTCTCAAAGGTGTGAACAGCTGAAGTCACCCAGCTCTGGGTCAGTCTGGAGACCCCCACCGCCTGCACACTTGGGGAGCCCTGGGCTAGTGTCCCCCACCCTTCATGCCTGCTGGCTGCCTTCAGCGTCACACGGAAGCTTCCCTGGGTCTCTTCGGCCTTCCAGACACCTGGGGTTGAGGTCCCCAGCCCCTAGAGTGAGGGCTGGGTGGCCGTCCAGCAGCATCCATGGGCTGCACACATGCGTGTCTGGAGAATCGTGTTCTGTGCAGGAGGCGGAGGCGCCGTTAGCCTTCACCTACCAGGACACACTCCGAAGAGCTGAGGACCCACTGGCCAGCAGCACGGTGCCTCCACCAGGCACAGGCTGTGCTATCGCCGTCCGAGGACCCTGGTCCTCTTCAAAGTCACCTGCTTTTGAAAGTGGAAGCACCTGGTCAGACTGCTCTCTGAGAGGAGCTGTGCCCAGCTTTCAGTCACCAGTGACGGCGGCTCCCGTGGCTCCCACACTCACAGCCTCCTGCGCCCTTGCCCGGATGCTCATTCTCAGGGGTCTGAGACCCGGTCAGGCGGCCTGAGTGTCTGCCCCGGGTCTCGGGTCTCTCTGGCAGTGATTGGCCTGCTACCTAGCGGGACCCTAATAACAAGGGCTTGGCCTTGGGCAGCACCGCGGACAGTGGTGCCCGGCAGCCAGGCGCTTTGGTCAGCCATGGGCGTCTGTGAGCCCCGCGTCGCTTGGACGTGATGTCCGAGTGGCGGTCAGTGCAGCAGGGCTCTGTTGGTGCTGGCTGAGGCCTGGCCACGGGCAGTGCTGGTGTCCAGGGGCCTTGGGAAGCCACCCCTCGCCCCACAGTGGCCTGACAACTTGGCCCCGGGCCCCTCATTGCTTGGGGCCTCCGAGGCTGAGAGCCCAGGAGACCCTCCTGCTCGCCCACGGTCAGCTCGGGTTCCCGGGATAACGTCCTTGTCCTCCCAGTGATGCTTTGCCCCCTTGCTGTCCCTTCGGACAACACTGAGGGGATGGAAGCGGCTGGGCGGGGCACACTGACCATGACCAGAGGTCCCCAGACTCTCCGGAGACGCTGTTTTGGCCACGTGTCATGCGACACGACCCCTTTCCTCCAGATGGCCCTGGCCCCACCTAGGTGGCCCCGTAAGCTGCTGGTTTCTCTGTCTTCTGCCTCTGCCTGGGCCTAGCTGCCCCCGGCCGCCACCGGCGCCTGGCAGCAGGGCCACACAGCCGTTTCGGTGGAGGGTCGGCCAGCCTTCCACCGCTGACACCGTCCCAGCTCAGGTGGCTTCCGAGGAAGTTTTGAGGCGCCATGTGCCTGTGGAGTCCCCAGGAAGCCATCTCTGCTGACAGAAAAGGGACTCACCCCGTTCCCCCTCTCCACCCCTGCCTGATGGGGTGGCTGATTGGCCCACATCTGGGGGCCTTCACATAGTGTCTTTGAGCCCCTTGAGGTCAGAATCAAGACGTGGAGGGGAGAAGCAGGGAAGGAGGGAGGGTGCCATGAGCTACGTCAGTTGGCCATCCTTGGGAGAAGCCCTGCCTGGCACATGACTCCCACTTGGCAGAGGTGTTCCCATGTCCCTCACTCCCTGACTCCTGCCATGGCCGTCTTGTGGCCACCAAGCGGGCAGCCCCCAGGGCCGTCAGGCTTGGGTGGCTGTGTGTGCCCCACGGTGCCCGGGTCTGACCCCACGGTGCCCACGGTGTGAGTGTGGGCTCCCAGAGCACAAGCCGCTGACAGCGTCAAGTGTGAGCGGGGAGTCGGGGCCGAGGACTGCCAGGGCGAGCTGTTGAAGCGGGAGGTGGGCAGGTCACGAGCTGACTGCTTTGTCACTGAGGGGCTGTGACGTGAAGGGTGGTCACAGCTGCGGACCATGTGAACAGACTCACACAGGTGGCAAAGGGTGGCAGGCAGCCAGCCCCCCTACCCCATCTGAGGCCCCCATGCTTCTGCACAGGGTCTCCACAGAGTCCACTGCAGCCCCACCCCCCACAGCTGGCAGTGGGCGTGTCCCCGGGGCTGTCCCCCACCCCCAGCTGTCGGGGGCTGGGCTCCTGGCTTTATGAGGTGCGCAGGGCTCCGTGGTTGCCATGCCACCCAGGGAGTTTTATAGCCCTGGTTGGGAGCCCACCCTCAGTCTTGCCTGGACTGAGCAAGGAGCGTGTCTGCTTTTTTGTCTGTCTGGGACGTGTTGTGATTGGTGACAGGAGATTGTGTCTGATAGGGTGGGAGGTAGGTGTGGCGCGTGCAGCTCTCGCTGGGTAGTTCCTCCACTCCCGCTCTCACCAGAGGACTAGCAGGTTCAACTTCGGGGGCCCGTAGATAGTCCAGGGCCCAGCAGGACGAGGGCGAAATAAGGACCCAGAAGCTCTCAGGTCTGAAAAGTGCGCAGAGGTCGTGGTGTCAGGAGGACGCTGATGGGGCCACCCAGGGCAGCACCACTCCTGCCTGTGGGTCAGCGGCCTGTCCCAGGGAAGGACGGGCACAGCATGGCGTGGGGCACGGGGAGGGGCACGGGCAGAGACAAGCCAGGGAGCGAGGGTGCTGGCAGGGCGGTCGCCAGCCATTGGTGACCCCGCCTTCCCGTGGCCGTGGGCTGGCTTGGCCAAGCTCCGTGAGTGCCGGCCACGTGGAGCTGGGGGGCCGGGGTGAGGATTCCCACACCGACGCAGTTTGGGCCACAACGCAGACAGTAGGCCCTGGGGGTGGTGAGAAGCAGGCAGGACCAGAAGTGGGGCGCCGGGGGACGCAGGCCCCAGATGCTGGCTCCCTGAGCCCGGCGCCAGGAGTCTGCCTTCGGTGACGTCACGGGCGTCCCCCCCCAGATCAAACCCAGAGCATGAACACGCTTAGGAAGTAACAGAAGGCCCAGCTTGGGTTCGCGGGCGCATCAGGGAGGATGTGGCACCAAGAGGGGCCAGGAGTGGGGTGGTGGAACGAGGGTCCAGGGCAGGGGACAGCAGGAGAAAGGCCGAGAAGCGAGAAATGAGCCCAGAATCATGAGAGTGTATGTGGGGGGGGGGTGTGCGTATGCGGGGTCTGTGCGTATGCGGTGTGTGTGTAGTGTGTGCGGGGTGTGTGCATGGTGTGTGTTGTGTGTTGTGTGTGTGTGGTTGTGTGTTGTGTTTGTGGTGTGTGTATGCTGTGTGCATATGCACTGTGTGTGGTGTGTGTGCGATGTGTGGTGTGTGTGATGTGTGTGTGCCATGTATGTGTATGCAGTGTGTAGGTGTGTGTGCATGGTGTGTGTTGTGTGTTGTGTATGTGTGGTTGTGTGTTGTGTTTGTGGTGTGTGTGTGCTGTGTGCATATGCACTCTGCGTGGTGTGTGTGTGCCATGTATGTGTATGCAGTGTGTAGGTGTGTGTGTGCGGTGTGTGTGTTGTGTGTGCATGGTGTGTGTTGTGTGTTGTGTGTTGTGTGTGTGTGGTTGTGTGTTGTGTTTGTGGTGTGTGTGCTGTGTGCATATGCAGTGTGTGTGGTGTGTGTGTATGTGGTGTATGTACACATAGTATGTGTATGTGCAGTGTGTGTATGCATAGTGTGTGTATGCAGTGAGTTGTGTGTACAGTATGTGTGTGTGAGGTATGTGTGCCATGTGTGTGCATGCAATGTGTGAGTGTGTGTGTGTGCAGTGTGTATGCGGTGTGTGGTGTGTGTGTAGTGTGTGTTGTGTGTGTTGTTTGTGGTGTGTGTGGTGTGTGTATATAGTGTGTATGTGCCATGTGTGTATGTGCAGTGTGTGTATGCGGTGAGTTGCGGTGTGTGGTGTGTGTGTGCAGTGTGCGTGTGGTATGTTTGCGTGCCGTGCGTGTGCAGTGTGTGAGTGTAGTGTGTGTGTATGCAGTGTGTATGTGGTGTGTGTGGCGTGTGTGGCATGTGCAGCATCTGGTATGTGGCATGTGTGGCGTGTGCAGCATCTGGCGTGTGGTGTATGCGGTGTGTGTGGCGTGTGTGTGGTGTGTGTGGCATGTGTGGTATGTGTGGCGTGTGTGGTGTGTGTGGCGTGTGTGGTGTGTGTGGTGGTGCGGTGTGTGTGGCATGTGCATCGTCTGTGGCGTGTGGTGTATGCGGCGTGTGTGGCATGTGTGTGGTGCGGTTGGATGTCAGGCGGGGCGGGAGGCAGGGAGGGCGTCCTTGCGGGTCTCAGTGCTGGGCCTGAGCAGTTGGGCTGCAGGCGGTGCTGGCGAGTGGGCTCAGACAGAGGCGGTAGGAAGTGGGGTTCCTCAAGGCCTGGCTCCAAGCAGAAGGTCCTCGAAGTTGGGTGGTCGGGGGGCTGGGGCCGATGCTCTGACTCCCCTGGAGTGGCTCCTTGCCTGTCCTCTGAGGCGAGGCCTTCGCCAGACGTGCAAACACCTTGGCCACACAGACGGTGGGGTGCTCACCCGGGGCCACCTCTGACTGCCCATTTCACCCCAGAAGGAAGCAGGGGATGTGTGTTTGTTGGCAGCCAGGTGTTTGGTCCAGGTGTTTTGGAACTGATCCGATGTCCCAAGAGAGAAGAATTTGAAGTAGAAAATACGCATCTTCCCTTATTGCATATTTCGAGTGGTGAAAAGAACGCTTGGTTTCTGTGAGCGGAGCCGAGCAAAGCCCCTCAGCAAAGCCCCTGAGCGAAGCCCCTGCGGGGCGGGGAGGACGGGCAGGGCTGGGGGTCCAGCCGCGCCTCACCCCGGTCTGCTTTCTCCCAGGTCCGTTCTGTCCCTAAAGAACCAGCTCGGAGCCCGCAGCCCCGCGCAGAGCCGCGGAGGGCCCGCCGCCCGCAGGCCTGTGTCCTGGGGAGCCGCGGTGAGTGTGTCTCGCGCCCTTGGCTTTGGCCGGGTGGCCCTGCTGGCAGTCACGCAGACGCGCCGTCATCGGCCACCGGGCGCGTGTCAGCCTGCTCGTCCCGAGACGCGCTGCAGACAGCCATGCGCGCCGGCCGCTCCCCGTGTCCCCGCGGTCACCCTCTGGGCTCCGGCGCTCACGGTTTGGGGCTCCTGCTTTGCTCGCGCCCCTGACGGAGTCCGGCTGTGTCCAGCTCAGGGTCGAAACTCTCCGAACTCGAGCAGTCGCTCTGCTTTAAATTCTCCAGAGCCAGAGCCAGGTCCAGCGTCCGGGCCCCCACGCGTGCGTCTCCCTACACTTCGGGGCGAAGTCCTACCCCTGTCCATTTTCCTCACTGCTTTTTGTTCGTCTGTTTCTTTTCTTACACCCTCTGTTGTCTCTTCTGCAAAGTCCTGACAGATAGTGTTGTGTCCCCAGCTTCTACTGTTTACGTCACTTGAGTTTTTCTCATAATCATCACTTCATCTCTCTGTTCCAAGCCATGTGGTGATCCCTCGATGTCACTGTCCACCCTGCGGGACTTTGCTTCCTGGCCACGGGCTTCCTGTTAGTTGGCTCTCATATCCGCATGCCGTCCTCACTCAGGACTCGTGTTTTTCATGCAAACGTTCCCCCTCTGTGTTCTGCCTTCCCCCGTCCCCCGGTCTCGCTTCCTAAGTGTGATAAAGGTCTTCCTGAGAGTCTCGTGTAACTCACGTAAGCTCAGGGCCACTGTGGCGTGTGTCCAGCTGGTGTCCGTCCACCCGAGAGCCAGCGTGGACAGCAGCTGAAGTCTGCGCTCGGGGAAACTCTCGGAACGCGCAGCTCATCGGGAAGGGTCTTAGCATAGTTTTCAACTTCTCTGTCCCTTCCCAGGCAAACAGCCACGTCGGCTCCATTTTCTGTGCTCTGCCCTGAAGGGACGAGGGCCGTGCGGGTCCTCGGTCCCCCCTAAGCCGCCGTGGACCATGGCGGCCCGTCCCCACCCCTCAGCACACTGCAGCCCCCGCACTGTGCTCGCCTTCCACGGCGGCTCCGGTCCCCCAGCTGGCCGGAAGGGGCCACGATGCTCTCCCGGCCCCTGCACCTGGGTGACACAGGACGCTGGGGGGCGGCAGGCCTCCCCGTCCCGGCAGGACTGACACAGAGCTCTCTGGAAACTGGGCCCCGGGTCTGGCCTTCGGGGGACTTACGCACAATGCCTCGGGGTTTCTGTCGGGGACGAGGGCTTTTCCCACAGGGCCACGTCCGTCCCGCAGGAGGGCCTCGTGCCCACGTGAGTCCCCTCCATGGAGTCTGCATGCGTTTGTAAACACGCTGCAGACTCAGTGCTCTCGGCTGCTCCCCGGCCCCGAGGGACGGGTCGCTGCCCGCACCAGGGGGCCCGGTCCGTGGGTGCCCCTCCTGGTTCCTCGGCCCTGTGGGCCACACACCCCACGAGCTGTTTTCTGCAGCTGTGTGGTGACTGGCCTGGCTGACTGTGGCCTCTGCCCCCCGTGGGCGGCCTTGACCTAGCCCGCCCCAGCCCTGCTCCTCTGCCGCCGGCCCCCGCGGCTGCCACGTGCCCCCTTGTCTTGCAGATGGCCTGCTGCGTCAGGGCCCCGAGCCCTGTCTCCCCAGAGGGAGCGGACAAGAAGGTGAGGCGAACAGTCCCGCCTCGCGTGCCGAGAGCCAACGGCTGGTCGCTGCCTCTGCACCCGTTCCAGGTCATGTCCTGGGTCATGTTCCTCGTGCTGGCTTTCACCGCCTTCTTCATCTTCATCCCTCTGCTGCCGCACGTGTGGAAGCTCACCGCGTATGGCGTATCCTTTCCTGGGCCTGCTGGCCGGCGGGGGGACCCAAGGGGACAGCGTCCTGCTGCCCGCCCCCTGCCCTCTACCCTCTGCCTGGCGCCACCATGGGGGTCGCTTCCTGCTCCTAGTCCTCACCCCATGCGCCCCACCCCCACACTCCTCGATTCTCCGTGTCCTCGTGAAGTGCAGCCAAGTACCCGGGAGCGTCCGCCCCTCGCCTGCTGCTCTGCAGGGACAGTGCACCTGCGGTGACGGTGACAGGGACACGAGGCTGTGGGGGAGGGGCACAGAGCCTTGGGCTGGGACGGGCATGCAGACCTGGGCCAGCGAGGCACAGGGGTTGGTCTGTCACCCAGCGAAGAAGCATCAGTCCAGTGATGAGGGGCTGTTTGGTGGCGGCTCCGGCGTTCTCACCCGGCCTGTCAGGTGCGCTTACCCCAGCCGGTCACGTGCGCTCACCTCAGCCTGTCAGGTGCAGCCGCAGCACCCTGACCCTCAGCACCCTGACCTCCTGGGTGGCCCTCACATGGCTCGCTGACAGGGCCTCAGGCCTGTGACCCTCCCGGGGTGCTGTACTGCACAGTGCGCCCCGAGGCCACGGTCCTGTCCTGGCGGAGCGCGTGGGCGCATGGGCTACTGTCCTGTCTGACCGTCTGGCCCTCCTGCACCTGCGGGCGGTGGCCAGGCCTGGGACCGGCACCGGCGTTGGGCTGCACAGCGGCCATGTGTTCCCCTGGCAGCGGCTTCCTCACAGAGCTGTGTCCCCTCCCCCATCCTGGGCCGGGCGTCGAGATGGGGGTGTGGGTGGGCCATGCTCCCCTGACAGCTGGGATCAGCCCCTCCCAGGCCTCCCGGCTCGGTGGCCTCGGGTGCCTTGGCGTGTGCAAGGCCACCACCTCTGTCCTTGCATGCTTGCCCCTCCGCATGTAAGGACACCGGTCGTCTGGTTTAGGGCCCGTCATTGCGACCTCGTCTAACTTGACCAACTGCCAGGACCCTGTTTCCGGATCACGTGGTCCTCACAGGTGCTGGGTCAGGGCTCAGCGTGTTTGGAGAGGCCCGATTCCGCCCTCACTGTGGGCTTTGCTCGTGTGCTGGGTGACAACCCGTCATCCCTTTTCTCTGCTGACCCGTGACTCAGCCCCGTTTTGCCCCGTGTTCTCTGTCCAGTGGTCACGCTGAGTGCATGTCTGCTGTGTGGCGTGGCAGCGAGTCCTCACCTGCCCTGGCCACCCCGACCCCGGGCGGCTCAGCTTGTCCTAAGTGGCGGACGTGGGACAGCTTCCGTGGCCCAGCCGTAGGGCTCAGGCCGCCTCTGGAACATTCCACACCCCCTTTCCCGCTGGCCCCGCTCCCCTCAGGCCCTGAGGCAGCTGCACTGGGGCGCCATGCTATGGCCACTGGGGGGCGCCCGCATCACTCGGCAGGGAAGCAGGGTCAGCGTCCCTGGTGGGGAAGGGACAGCAAAGGCGGACCTCTGTGCAGGGCAGAGGTCAACGTCCAGTATTGGTTGACCCTCAGGGTCAGAGCTGCTCTTGGCCGCCGGATCCGCACGGCACACTGTGCGGAAGGCCCTGGAATCTGATGGAGCTTTGTTTGACCTGGACATCCTGTGTTGGGACCAGAGGCCGCGTGAACTTGGACACATGCTGGAGAAACTCGAGCAGGGCAGGGAAGCTGGCCTCTCCAGCCCTGACCACGGGGCTGGCCAGCCGCAGGGCTGACGGGCAGTGGGAACCCTGCCCCCACCCCCACCCCCGCTGCGTAAACAGGACTAGAGGCTAGCAGTGTGACAGGGCGTGCCCCAGCTGGCACTGTCCTCCCTGTTTGTTTACTAAACACAGATTGTTGCTAGGGGACCTTCCAGCCTTTCTCAGAACAGCCCCCACCAAACCCTCAGGGCAGGCGCCTGCCCTGGCTTGTGGTGAAAGTGCGACCTGGAACCTTCCTTTATCTGTTTGTGATGGACTTGAACCTCAGACAGTGCGGAGAGACTTGCCTCTGGAAGCGGCTGCAGGGCCTGGGGACTGCGGCGGCCACCATGAGCGCCACACTCCAGGGGCCCAGCCCACCTGAGGGAAGGTGGCCGAGTGTGGGTGGGCAGCTCGCCTTGGGCGACCTTTGCCGACCTTTGCTCAGTGCCCTGCACGTGGGGTGGATGGGGACCTGGCCGCGGGGGTGGCCCCTCGTGTTTGCTCCCGGGCGGGGCAGCTTCGGCCATGGTGCACCTCAGGGCCCCGTCCCGGAAGCCTCAGCTCTTTGATCCTGGGGACATGTTGCGGGAGGCGGCCTGCGGGTTTGGGGTCACACGGGAAAGCGGCCACTGGCTGCACACTGCAGGACTCGGCCCGGCACCCCCACCTGGAGGCTGCACGTACGAGTGTGGCCACGCCGTCCCCACGCTCCCCGGCAGTGGTCTCATGTGTGAGCCGAGTGTGGACGTGGGGAGGAAGGGCGTGGGCCACGTACCTCAGTGCCAATGTCACCTGCTGTGTGGGAGGGAGCCCCTCCCACCCCCCCGTTCACCACCTGCCCCCGGCTGGCCCCTGGCCACCCGCCTGTCCGTTTCTGACAAGGGCCATTCTACTCCAGCCCCACAGAGGAAGGGTCCACACCTGGGCCACAGTGCTACTTCCTGCCATGTATCATTGTCCTCGGCTGTCACCCGCCTGTGTCCTGCTCAGGACGTGCTCCTGTTTCCCCAGTAACCACACAAACAGTGCCTCCTGCCTCAGGCTTCAGGGACAGGTGCAGGGGGACCATGTGAGTGTCGCCGGCTGTGACAATGAGGCCTGGCCCAGCCACGGACCACCTTCCCTGCTGCCCCCACCCCGTGCCAGAGCCTGGCCTTGGTCTGCTCAATGGCTCTGTAGGGGCAGTTCAGGTTTTAGCCCCAGCCCTATGGGTCTGGTGGTCATGGAAAGGTCTGGGTGTCACCTTGTCCCATGTGACACCAGAGGGGTCTGGTCAGCCCTGTGCCCAGCACGTGTCCCCCAGGGCATGGCTGCTTCTCAGCCATCTCCCACCCCACTCTCCAGCTCCTCCCCACCGTGCACCTGCCACCTCTGGCCCCGTCTGACCCCCCTGGTGCCTCACGCTCACCTGCCCCCCTCAGTCACCTCATGGCCCACAGTCGGGTGGCCTGCAGCCCTGGCACTGTGCCCAGTACTTGGAGGCCGAGGCAGGGACCAGCAAGGCGGCCAGAACCAGCCTGCACTCGGGTGCTTCTCACTATGGACCTCGTGACTGGTCCTCGCGCGGTCAGCCATGCGTAAAACCCCAGAGCCCTCGGTGGCTCCACACCGAGGCTGACGCTGCCGGGCAGCAGGCCAGGCAGAGCCTGAGAAGGGGCTTCCTGCAGGATGGCGCGCTCAGCCCAGCGCCCTGCTGGCCTGTCCACCCGCTGGGGCCTCTGCCCTGGTGCTCCTCCTGGGCCCAGCAGCCCCCCGCCCTCTGGGACGCCCGCAAATCCGGAACTTTCCCTGTGGCTCAGGGCTGACCCTGGGAAGCAGAGCAGGGGTGATGGGGAGGCCGCAGCCCTGTGCTGCTGCCCCCTTCTGTTTGGTTGCCATGGGGATGGTTTGTTGGTCCCCAGGGCAGAGGAGGCCAAGAGGTGGGCTGTGAGGGCTTGGTTTCACCCCAGGAGCTGGGGGGCAGGTGGGGGGGCGGGTGCCTGTCCCTGCGAAGCTCTGGGCCAGGCCAGGCGCCATGTCCTCCCCCCCAGCCCCGTGCCCTGCACCGACGGCTCTTGGCGTGTGGCCTGGTGCCCACCTGCTCCGCAGGCCTGCCCGCTGCCTTCGGGGGGCTTTGGGCGGGCGGAGGGCGGCTGCGGGGTGCGCGAGAGGCCGTCCCCCGTCCCTGCCACTAGCTGGACCCACAGCGCCTGGCCGGGAGCGGGGCCTGGACACCTCGCGACGCGTTCCTTGACACAGCGCCCACAGGTGACCGGCGGGTGTTTCTTACTGTACCTCATCGTCCACCTGGTGGCAGTTTCTGTCGACCCGGCCGAAGCCAGCGTCAGGCACAGGAAGAGCTACCGCCAGGAGGCACCGTCTTTCGACCGGTCCAAGCAGCCGCACGTCATCCAGAACCGGTTCTGCTGTTTGTGCCGGGTCGCTGTGTGAGTGCGGGGCGTGGGGCCCGGTGACGCTGGTGGCCCTGTAGCCACTCGGCAGCTGCCACACGTTCTCTGCCACTGGGGGTGGGGGGAGGTGGGGGGACACTGGACGCTGTTTTCCTGCAGGGCCGGGGCTGGGGCTGGGCTCGGAGGGGCCTGCAGCCCTGGGCGCTGAGGGGCGTGGATTTCCCGACGCAGCACCCGCCCCACGCTGGGCTGGGCAGGAGGGCACTGTCCTTGGGTTTCTCAGCTGAGTCCCCGGCGCCCCGGGTCACAGGGCCGGTCACGACCCCGGGGTCTCACAGTCCTGGAGACCCTCGGTGGGTGGCGCGGGGCAGGACCCTAGCCCGGCCTCCAGGCCGACCCGGCACCACGTGGCCCGCATGGCCGCGGGAAGGCGCCCACCGCGCTGGCCGCTGCCGCCTGCTCCTCCCCTGCGGGCGGGCGGCTCCAGCCTGGGCCTCGCCTGCCTGGTTGCTGACGGGCTGCCGCGCCGATCCCCCCTGCAGAGGCCCAAAGACCAAGCACTGCAGCGCCTGCAACAAATGTGTCGCCGGCTTCGACCACCACTGCAAGTGGCTGAACAACTGCGTGGGCAGCAGGAACTACTGGTAGGTGCGGGGCGGGGCTGCCCCATCCCCCGCGCAGCGCCCCAGCCTCTGTGTCGGCTTCTGGAGCACGTTTGGGTGGAACCGTCCCTGACCCACTGTGCCCTCGTGGCGCATGGCTGCAGACCCCCCTTAGGCTTGGTGAGGGGCCAGCCCTGTCCTCAGAGCGCAGGCTGCTGGCCCAGGCCCCTCTGCTCTCGGCTGGTCAAGGCCATCAGGCCCCGAGCACAGAGGATGCAGCTGGGGGCTGTGCCAGAAGCAGGTGTCCAGCCACGGGTGGGGGGCAGCCCTGCCCCCATGAGCTCAGGGGCAGGCCTGCGGGGTCAGCAGGGCTGTCGTCAGCCTCGAAGAGCTGCATGTCACCAGGAGAGACCAAGCGTGCTCCCCTGAACCCCACATCGGTCTTGGGTGGGGCAGGCTTTGCCGGCGGCCGCGTGGCCGCCAAGCTGCTGTCCAGGCGGAGGGTGGACATCGGGCCCCAGCGCTTACCTGCCATGAAGCAGCGGAAGTGCAGTGCGCCCTCAGCCGCCAAGTGGGGGACACCACGTGGGGGACGCCACACTCCTGCCCACACAGGGGCCCTGCTGCTCTGAGCAGACAGGGACCAGGGGCTCTCACTGAGAACGCTCCAGGCCGAGCCATGGGCCTGGGAGGGGCCCAGGACAGCCCATCCTGCCTCCCCTGACAGAACAGGGGCCCAGAGGTCAGAGGCAGGTGGACCCCAGAGCTCGGGCCGCAGGGCTCCCTCACCCCCACACCCCCTGCAGGCCGGCTGGCGCCTCGAGACTCCAGGTCTAATCAGCCGTTGGGGATGAGGCGGGGCGTGTGGCCCATGAGAAGGATGGGCTGGCCCAGGCGGCCGGGTCAGGGTACCCCGTCTCTGAGCCTCGCTGGGAGCTGGGAGCCCCTCCACGTCCCCAGCCTCGGGCAGGGGTTAAGTACAGTCACGTCTGTCGTCGGTCCTGAAGCAGCGGGGCCGTAGGCGGGCGAGCGGGGTCCTGGACCAGTGAGGTCCCCAGAGCACTGGGGAGATGCTGGGGGCCTCAGGGCGGAGAGCAGGGCGGGGCTCTGGGCGCCCGCCTGAGCCTGTGTCCCCACAGGTTCTTCCTGAGCTCCGTGGCCTTGGCGCTCGCCGGTCTGCTGTGCGTCGCTGCCATCCTGACGTGCGTGTTCGTCCAGTACGTCATCAGCCCCATGTGGCTCCGTTCGGATCCCAGCTTTCGTGGTGAGTGCTGCCGCCCCGTCCCGGGGGCGCCCCGCCCGGCTGGCTCCCGGCTGGGCGAGTGCACAAGGCTGGAGCGCAAGGGCGCCCTGGCACAGAGCTTCACAGAGTGGGGTCACCCCCCGCATGGGGACAGGGCCTGGGGCGACGCATGACCACAGACGCCTCAGCCTCAGCACAGCTTGCTGCTCAGCCCCACCTCAGGGACCGACGGCGGCCGGACGTGGCCGCGGGGCTGCACCCCGTCCTCACTGCCCTTGCCCCCAGTCCTGCGAACGTCCTCTCGCTTGGAGAGGGGTCACCGTGGATGTGAGCAAGGGTCTCGGGATAAGCTCCCCCGGGCCGCCCAGCTGGTCCCGCATCCAGTGCGAGTGTCCTCGCGAGAGAGGAGACGCAGACACGCAGAGGCTGTGGCTGGAGCCCGCGGGGCGGGGGGTGGGGGGACACGGGGCAGGAGCCTCAGAGGGAGCCTGGTCGGTGCCGGACCCAAGGGGAAGTGCTGCACAGTTTAAGCTGCCGTCTGTGGCCATCGTGACAAAGCCGCGGACCCCGACACGGGAGGACCAGGCGGAGCTGCCGCCGCTGTCCCCAGAGCCATGCGAGGCCCCTCCTCACAGCCCGCGGCGGCCCGAGCGGGGAGGCCTGCCGGACCTTCTCACTTGGCCCAGAACCTTCCAGGAAGCCAGCCCCGCCCAGGGCCCCGCGGGCTGTCCGCTGGTCTCTGCCGAGCAGGGCCCTGGCCTGCACAGCGGGGGGCCGGCGATGAGGCCGCCTGGTAGGCTGAGCCACTCTCCGTCCCCGGCCAGCTGGCGCTGACGGCAGGGTGCCCCCCCCATGCACACAGTCACTCCGGGCACCCGCCCCACACCTGGCGTGCAGGTGCTGGTGGCTCCTGAGGCCAGGCAGGCCCTGCTCAGTGGGAAGGGCT